GGTTCTACTCGCCTTCCAGGATGGGGACCGCGTGATCCTCACTGTGCCTGGTTGGAGACACTACAGTATATGGCTGCCAACCGATGTCAGTGGCGTTCTTGTTGTCAGTTTCTGTCCAGATTGCCTGAATGAATGTCTGGAGGTGTAGGCACCTCGGAATGATTGTGTTAAGCTAGCACTAAGTCCCTCCCCCATCCACCTTTATTCTTTTCTTTACAATAAGGCTTTCAAATAAGTCATGGCTGTACGGCAGTGAAGCATTGGTGTTGAGCACTGATGTCATGCTGTCGTTGATGATGATGATGATGATGCTCATGTTCATTTGACATGGGTTTGGGACCATATTCTATCCAGGAATTTTTAGCTGCTCTCAGGTGCCCTATTTAGGGATCGATGTTTAGTGTTCACTCGTAGTTTGCTGCTACGCAGAATTAAGACCAATCCGTCAGAATAGGTAGAGATATTTTATTCGATTGTCGGTTTCCATCCTCACTATTTTACTTACCTCTAGCTAACCAGCTAACGAGTACACTTATATCTTGTTCTGTAATATACCTTAGCAGCATCACCATTAATAAAAGAAGGCGGAAAAGTCCATCAAAGAAGCTTGATTTCTACACAGTAACGGTTAAAATACTACTTTGAGCCTTTTCATATTGCGGACTGCTCGCCACTGACATTCCATAGACCTCTGTTACTCTCCTATACAATTCTGTTCGATCGCCACCTGTTGGTTGTGTTTAGTGTGAATTGTTTTCCGCAACCACCCGTCATGCAAATGTACTACTTGTGCCAAGCATTGCCCAAACCGGTTTGTCTTCTTCACTTTGCGAACAGCGCCTCGGCAGACAAAGTGGATGACTATCTTTGGCTGCGTAAACCTTGGTACAGCGCTTTGTTTGTTGTTTCTCCGCCATTTCCCTCTGTTCTAATAGTTTCCGTTCTCGTTAATCTCGTTTTGGTCCGACAGGTAGCCTGTTAAATCGCGCAATATTGGTTTTTCGACCGATGCGGTTACCCGTCCGAACCCCTAGATATTGTTTGAGAACCATTGAAAAAGGACAATGGCAATTCATTTATCTCCCTGCCTGTTTGTATCTTGTGGGCTAAGCACGTTTATCATCCTAGTGTCCTCTCATGCGTTCAGTGGAGAGTCAGAACCGTTTGTATTTTATAGGGTTGGCGATCCGGCTTGTGGTTCCTTCATAAGTACATTTTAACTTTCAACTTAATTATACATAGCGAAACGGTTGAATCTTTTATAGTGGGAGATCACCCTAATGCTTCCAAGCGTACACAGTGTCGAATTCATTGCCTTTGAGTAATAGTTTGTCCGCGTGTTGCAAAAGCAGTCTATCCTGGGCTCATTCTCTTTCGTGCAACTGATGGAGCCTTGCTTACGGTACCACCAGTATGCAGGTTTCAGATAGCTCGTGCAGTGTAATCCGTTTATTTATAGCTAGAAATGAGATACTCTGGGGAAAGTCTGTAGTCATCCTACCATATCGTTTTGACCAAAAGCTTTGTGAAATACTGACTGCACTCAGCGACTTCAAGCTGTTACCAGCCGGGAACTGGAACAAAGTTAGTCTATCGAACAAATCAAGTGGCAGGTTCATTTATGTGATTAGCAGCCGCGCAGCCTTGGAGAAATACGAGGAACGGGATAATGCAAGATCATCTAGTTTTAGACCTGAGCGAACAAACCAACGACCATCTACGACGCTTCCTTATCTAACAACATTCTCCTCACTAACAGACCTTACCCTGCCGTGGTGTGACGGTTTGCGTACCTCGGTGACCCATTGAGCTATACTGGGGACACTCGCAGTCTCATACCAGGTTAATCAATGTTTAGAGGTCTTACCAATATAGTTTACTGGCCATCCATGTTGGTTGTCGGAACGTATATGGCGACTCGTTCTGTAAAAGTGGTAACGCACTCGCATTTTCCGCCCGAAACCTCTCCCTTACGGTCAGGCTTTTGAGCCAAAGGCTTTCGTCGACGATCCTAATAGTCCTCCTGTCTAGGTGTGGGCGCCCTGATTTTTTCTCAGCCTGCATACAACCATGATGATAATTTTGGGATCTTACAGCTCTGGTGTATTTTTTGATAGTGCTTGAAGCGCTCACCGAATTCCCTGCGATAGAGTCTTCGTCATTTGGTGAGATGAGCCGCGACTCACACTCATGATTCTCATCTGTCGGTCTTCTAGCCAGTCGTTGTGTGTCTTAGGATCTCTAACCAGTTTGCCATACATTCTTCCGGTCAGTGTAATGTTCATTTATTTCAAGCGGCCGGCCTATGAGGTAAGGATGCATGTAGCCGTGGTCGAGACCGTTTGCAAGCAAATGACCTCATTTCAAAGAGAAATTCCCGAATGAGCGACGAAGAACGACAACCCCTCTTACATCGGTTTCATTCGTATATATCTACACACCCTGGATTAGGTAATACTCCCTTCCAAAATGTTTCCACGTAGTAAAGCGCACAATGCATAGAAATGTGGGTATCGATTTTATATTGATTTTTCGGAACGTTTTGAATGATTGTTTTGCAGCCTATGTTTTTGCGTGATGTCCGATAGCATGTCTTTATGGACGTAAATCAATTCATGCCTTCTACAAACCCATTCGCCTCGAATGGGCAAGTTCAACTTACTTTGCCTGGTATCTGTGACTAGCAACTTCAAGCGTTTCAACAACCCCCGGCTCACCCGAGCGGGAAATGGCACCATTGTATAAATATGTAAAGATATAGCAAGCACTATCGGCGCTAGTACTATCAGAGATACCACCCGTCCTATCAGCTAGGAAGTTCAAGTTGGGATCCAACTCAAGGGTAGAAAGTAGTCTGGTACACCTTATATTTAACCTGTCTTCTGAGCGCAACATACTTCGGCTCATCTAATACTTGACTACGGAAATAAGCCGTGATATGTCTACTCTAGCTTACCTGAGACGATTAAGACTAGTTTTGGTCGTGGGTGGAATTTACGTAGCTCATCTGCCATAGACGAAGCGACTGATTAGTGATGCTGAGCAGAAAAGTCCACTAAATGAAGAAATATTGCGGCCTTATGGGACTGCCTAGTTCCTTTGGTCAAGTCGGTGGTGTGCCTCTAACTATTGGGAATTCCCTTCATGATCCATCGGAGTGTTCAGACACCACTTATAGCAGATTCTTTGTTGTATTTGAATGGCTCGAAGATTGCACATTGGCCGTGTTTTTTTGTTTTAAAACATTTCTGTGCACCCACCTGTTGCTTCGAGTATCCCTCAATCTTGGTCAGTTTGCATCTTTGTATTCTGTTATCTGTCCATTATTGCTAATTTTTCAGTTTCTTGTCTTGCATTTTATGATACAGCTGTTTTGGGTGGTTCTACCACATATTTTTCGAGATGTACTTCGAAACTCAATTTAATGTTTCTGAATCCTCTTTGACCGCTAATTCGGTTGGTCACGTATTGATGTTCATTCGCTTTTCCCTAATTTCTTCGTTTACTTGAAGCAATCCCTGGTGATGCTGTTCAGAAACGTCAATCAAAAGCAGACGAAACGACGATTGCCATGGATCCCACCGTTTCGGAACACTTCTCCTTTCCTTGTGGCTCAGATCCTGCCAACCCAACATCCAACCGTGTGAACCGACCCTGCAGCCTGCTTCTCAACTACGGTGGGTACCTATTCTTACTACAGCCCAGTATATCATCGGATGCCGGAACTTCCGGTGTTCGTACTGATTCAAACCAAAAGGTGTGTGCGTTGCTCTCTTTTTCGATGACATACTGCTTTCTTGTGTTACTGACTATTCCTGGTCTATATTGATCGTTGATTGAGTCAAATCACGTAAACTGTAAACGCCCATCGATTCCTACGGAGCTTTAGTGTGGCGTGTAACTGCTGTTACAGATACAATATTATTGGTGGGGTTTATCGTTCCAGCACCTTGTATGCGCAGGACGCTTAGCTACTCTGCACCCTATCCCACTCTTGATGTTCATTTCCTATTCATGAAGCAACCAATATCGGTTCCAAACTTTTGTTCAGCTAATGTTTACCAGGTTTGACTGGAAACTGTCGAATTAGTTTATCCAACTACGAACTGTGTTGACAGGGAAGTGGTTTGTTTCTACTCTAACATTCCTACATGACTGAGACCCTAGAAATCAATTACCTTCTTAAGGGAGTTGCTTAGTTTGATCTGGAATTTCCTAGGTATCTTGATCTCCAACAATTCTCCTTTTTCCTGTTACTCTTGGTATTCTTTCCATCCGTAGTTTTGCCACTTGTAGCATAGTTCTACGATTACATTGCCGTGACCAATCTTTCGCACGTGAAAACTTAGGCAAGCGACACATTCTTAGGTCATTCATTGTTTCTGTCGATTGATTGTTAAATTCGGCGCTTGATTGGAATTTGCATGCTTGTATGTTCAGTAGGTGCTTCTGATTCTATCAAGCTTCTTTCGCATTGGCGACAACGACATCTGATAAAAGGCAAAACTTCGTTAGTCATGAGAACCCTATGGACTGTGTTCTCGAAATCCGTCATGCAAACAGCAAGACAGTTCCACACACATGTCACACAGCACAAGCGACATGCTTCATTTCTGCCACATAACACAATGGACCTTGAAGGCGACTCGTCTATCGCAATTCACGCACTTTAGATGAACCACCAGATCGACTCTACCGGTGCATATATACTTCAGTCGGACTTTGGTCACACGGAAAAGATGTGCGCTTTAGCTCTGGGGGTCAGCACATGCTCGACACGCCACAATAATGGGTCTCCATCTTGACGGGCCTTCCGGGGGCCAGACGCACAATATGAACCCGAACAGTGACGGATAATTCACGTCAGATTGCCAACTGTAATCCTCCACACCAACATACTCTTACCCGTAGCAGTTGGGTCACGCAGCTCACATATCCTTAGCCACTGATACCGACTTCAGCAACCGGACCAATCCAAATCTAAGACAACTGATCCAAACGGTTGTATCGCTTTGCTAGGCCTTCACTGGTTCATAAAATCCCTCATGAAAGGTAGTCGGAATGATCGGCTCGTATCATCCTCACCCATACCACCGTGTTCCGCTATCAAATTAATCGCTCAGTGCGTACTGTAGGGTGTTCAATCCCTTCCTTATGGTCGGCACCAGTTTCGGCCTATATTAACTGGGATTTTTCACGTGGTTATGTATTAGCTCTGGCTATTTTAATTTTGCGTTAGCCAGTAAGGATGACTCTTATTGTCTTCTTCACTTTTTCTTGCGTCCATAAGAAAGACATTTCCCGATTAAGATTGATTATTATTTTGAAAGCCCTGTACTTTTGGAAAGATATTACAATTTATTGAAAAGATTTGGAAGCTTGAATTTCTCCTCGCAAGCATTCAACCCCTACTCAGGACGACTAAAAAGGCAGGGAGTCGGTCGCGGCGAAAAACTTCACCCGATGGTTATTGCTCTGCCACATACTGTACAAAGTCTTCCATTCAAATCAAGAAAAGTTGTGTGCATCCAGAGGGCGAATTTTCAGCAACGCCTAAAGAGAATTTATGATTTTGCATGGAAATTTACTCCCGTTTTTCTCGAATTGATCTCTTAATATCATCCGTTTTCTTAAGGTGCATTTGTACCGTTTGTTTGTCAACTTTATCATTTCATTATTTTAGCCGCTCTTATTGACCCCATTCCTCATCGCCTCGAACGTTGAGCTGACTTGGCCGGCGACTTCTTCAGACGTAAAGATTGAGGAAATTCTTCCCCCGGCTGCTCCGTTGTCGTCTACTGCAGACCAACATCGCCTGCGCCCGTATCTGACACATTCATTATGGCTGTATTGTGGAGCAATTGGTTTGCAAGTTTGGCTTCCATTGCCACATTTGCATTCCATATCTCCGCAACTGAGCCCTACACGTCATGTACCACCACATGCTACACGTTCATGCAGTCAAATTTCCGATCCGGCCAGCCCTTCTCAACTGCCAAACCACACACACCCTATGATACACGGACGGACACACCTCTCACCTGGTTACATATCACGTCGAATCATGTTGTCGATTGAACTAGAAGAGGACGTTCGCCCACTGGGTAAGTATTCTCCCATAGAATCATTCTTTTCGGATCGCTTTGAGAGTTTAGTCTCTAAGATGTTCCAAGTTTTCTGCAATTATGCAGACAGAGAATGACCACTTCTACATTTACCCCCTTCCCCTTTATTTGAAGTCGCTCGGGCACGGACATATGTTTTGCAGGATTTATCAGTTCCACAGCTGGTCATCGAAGAAGCAAATTTAATTCTTATATCAAGACTAACTGAACAGGTAGTAAAACTCAAGACGTTTGAGAAGGGTAATGAGGCGTCGATCCTGAGATGATCTTTACTGTACAATGCCTCTTGTAACAAAGAACCGTCAGTAGAAGCTAGCATTTAGTAGACAGTATCCTTCCCGGAATAACTGAGTTTAGCGAACCTAAGAATTTCCACCAAGGGATACTCCTAGTAAGCAAGAACCTCATAGAACATAACAACTTGAGTTCGACAAGAATCGCTCGCCTTCAACATGGAATGCCCTAAGAACTACTAGGTGGTCACATCTTTTGGTCGTAACTATGTGGAAGACTGCTCCATCCTAAAAACTGTTGAATAAGCAGAGCTAGGCTAGGGGTATGGGGAACTCATTTGTGGTCCTTGGGTATGAGAACGAAAGTAAGCTTGCAAGACTACTGCGATTGTGCGTTCCGTTTGCATTACTCGAACAACAAAAGCTTGTTCAGCTTGACGAGCAAAAGCTCGTAGGAGTTTTTCATGGGTTGACTGACTGGGTTGCATGTGATGTCCTTTTTTGCTTAGGTGGTAAGTGAATTCATTGTTTGGCCCATTCATTGCGTACCTTAAGGGGCCTGTGTAGCTGTTGGGGCCTAAGTTAACAACATGCTCGAGCTGATTTTACTTTTTTTCCTTATGTTTTTACCCATGAATACCGTATGCCTCTTCCGGTGTGTTTACCGACGGCTTCCGTTCGTGCGTTTGTGAATCTTGGATACGCAGTCAATTGCACGTATGGTCTGATTGAACTCTTGCAACTTTGATACCGTGCATTGTTTACTCAGCTGCAGTCGTTGTTTACGCAGTCACTGAGGGTTTATTCACGACGAATTCTATCCCTTACACATGAAATCAGAGCAGTTCGATCAAGTGAACCAAAGGAATCGATTAACAATATTGATGGAATGCCTAGCATTAGCCAATTTATCGGAGACAAGCTCGTTCTTCATTGGTGTTTTATGAACCGTTATCATGTGTTGTTAGGATGACTAGTCACTTTGACAAACACCCTGTGCTCCTTACTTCCAGGAAGCAAGTAACTTTAGTCATCACAGCCGACTGAAACGACCCAGTAGAGGAAACTAAAGACTACGTTTTATGCAGAACCTGGAAAATGCGGATTCGACCATAGGAAGAGTCCTTCTCAACTCAATAAGTAAATTTAATTTAAATCAGGGTGCTGCTATGGAACAAGAAACCGGAACTTCAGCCTGTCACTTAGTCTTTGTTTAGCTAAGTCCACAATCCAGTACTACGTTCACAGAAAGTTTTTGAGCAATGTCTTTAGTCGCACTGATAGTAATCACATGTCTACTCAGTTTGAGTAGCTAGCAAACAGTAGGAGCACTCAGTTAGACGTAATGAAACTCCCTAAGTTCACTCTCGCTGATTTATACATAACCCCACCATCTCTCCTTCACGTTTTCAGCTATACTGTTCCAAGAGGCCGTTTTGGTTGGCGTAATAAACGAGTTTCACCAGCCGTCAGTCAGCATGCGAGATCCCGACCCATCTGATCTATCGAAGGATTTTTACTCCATTCTGCCTTATGGCACCTCACGTGTGGAGGTTAGTTGACCTCTTTGTTCGTAGTTTTAGTTGTTCTGACTGGTTACCAAACTCTGCACTCACTTGGTCGATTTTCTCCCTTTCAGACCCATGCATTCCTCCACCGTCTGATTCAGGAGCTTCTACGGAAGAAGTAAGCCAAATTCCATTCCCACCAATGTGCTTAAAAGATGCGACACTTTATTGGTCGTCAGCTTTCTACCAATTGCATTTTGTCTAACAAACCACTTACTATTCATGGACAGGTCGCTAACGTTATGCGTTTCCTTTGATTCCTAAGTAACTGTTGCCCGGCGTAAAATGAATTTTGATTACCTATTTGATCAGACCAGCGCAGCCTGTTCATTTAATTCTCCCAAGGATGGAAACTATAACTGACCACACAACGGAAACCAACTGATAGCCCAACTTTAGCAACCAAGTCAGCCAGCTCCACCGGCAGGGCGTAGCTGTTGGTATCTTTTTATCTTCACCAAGAAATCCATCGACCAAGCGCACCGCACACTTGATGTTCCGTAGGTGAGGTGATGGAGCCTGACCTACACGCGTGCCGCCGTTTCTGTCATTTGTATTAGCAACAGTAGTATTCCGATGACCGAACGGGGTAGGAAGTCATTGCTCTGCAGGTCTATTCGTTGATAGAGGCTTGCAGAACTATCTCACCTACGTAACTATTCTTCCATTGTTTTTCAGCTTTCGTACGACTTCCGTTTGTCTGTTGTCCCCGGTGCGCCATACTAGGTGGATAGAACTCCCTAAATGACTACTTGTTTTGGTCAACATGCACTAGATAATCGTATGGTCGTCTAACACTTGACTTTACTGTGACTGGCTCATACGGAAGCAGGCTGGCTTCATAAATGCATTGCGGCTGACGCCCTTTGACTTAAAATGATGAGGTATTCACGGTCAGTCTTCATGATCATGGTTTTTCGTAAGGTTTCAAAGTGCAGATTCTTTTCTTATTATTGTGTACAACGTTATTCCTCTTTTTGTTATTTTCGTTTCGCCCTTATACCGTCTTGTTTTGACCTGAACGTAAATCGCTCTTCGACTTTGGGTTTTGCGCGGAACTCAAAGTGGCCCAACTGACTGCTGGAAGCCATAAATACCTACACTGAACGTCTCAAGTAGCCTTTTGTGCTTGCTCGATTGTGAATCGGTAGCCCTTGCACACCTGGGTGTGTCCCGCCTGTTCCCACTCATATAGTCCACTGATGGCCCATTTCGGTGGCCTTTGGAAATGGGAAATGCAGAACCAGGGATTACACCCGAACACCTATCTCGTAATCGTTCACACTTTTTGTTAGGACTATACCACCAGAAATCCCATGCATGTAACCAAAGCTCAACCGAATTCGGTTGGAGGGACACAGGGATTGGTAGAGTATGTGGTTAGGAATGGTCGAGTGAAAGAATAGTAAGAACACGTAGCGAGTTGTCGGGGTCGGAGTTAATCGAAGTGGCACACCGCCAAATCGTGAGGTACCATTGTAACGTATATTACTGTTAGTGCAATTGAATTGACTGATTACATCAATAAACCTCGTGTTCGAGAAATTTCGATTGAATTTCATTTTCCTGTCACCTGTTCACAACCCTGGAACGTTTACAGTAGCACCCACACATTGTTCCGTTTCGAGTCATCTTAGCCAACACTAAATAACTCACCTTTTAGTTCAGTATGTTAATTGACTTTAAGAAACTGGTTGTAAATCCCCGGAAGTGGTAGTGTATTTCATCACTTATAGGGTCACGTAATCAGTTTCTAAAGTTTAAATTGAGAGTCGATATTTCTGCGTTTTTGCTTTTCATTCACTCCCCCTATATAGCCTCGGTGCTCACGCGCTTCAGTTGTGCTCCGCTTACAAGGAACTTCCACATTTTCATCGGTTGCTGGAATGGTTGCTACACGAAGTTTTGGAGACAGAAGCAACGTCGAAATCTCCTATTCCTGGTCAGTATATTGCTTGGTGTTTTTCTCGTGTTATAATTCGCATGTTTATTCCAATGCCCATGTAGGCATGCCGTAATTGGTTGTCAGAGTAGGATCAATAGGATATTCCGTTGTTCTTTCCATGTGTCGAGGCCGTCCGCGCTTGTGAGCTGTCTGAAGACCCTTGACCCCATTTCAGAAGGGCTTGGTAAACGATCGGTAGTTTCTAATAGGGCAGCGTTCCGATTTTGACTTAATACCTTCATCAGGCTTCATCACCAAGTTGGCCAGGTTTTACGGCAGACAGAGAACCAATCAGTAAGGCCTCTTCAGATTAGCACACTCGATCAGTGCTGAGGGTCAATTAACGGCTCTTGTCAGTCAGTTTGGTTGCCAAAATCTTGTGTCAGTAGATGTGTAATGTACTACTCATAAGGTTGCTGAAAATCTATCGACAGCCCACGACCGGTTTCGCCCTTCTTGGGGCTCATCAGGTAGGCGCAGTCCCCGGGTTTCCGTCAACCTTATGTTCTACTTGTGTCAGTAGGTTGGAGGAGTTTCCAGTTAGTTCCGATCGGTTTTGGTTCCTTAATCTCGTACTTCATGGTGCTGCAATTGATAATTCACCGCGGATGCCACTGGTAGATTTCACTTGATCTTGGGCTTGTGGGTGTTGCGACAATTTGGTTTGGGGGAGGAGATGTGAATAAGGTCAAATGGAATTCAGATGTTGAATGTTACTCCTGATAATCGCACACCAACACGTGTCAGCTCGACTGATCCAAGACCGTTCTCCACACGCCTACCAATTCCACGCCTTCTATTCTGTTAGCACTGCGATGCTTGGCGATTTCTACCGCCTCGTCTATCAGTCTCTGTGACGTGGATCGTGGTCCTCGCCTCAAACCCCAACATTTTTTCAAAATCTATTTTGTGTCCCTTGTCCAATACGTGTTCCGCGATTGCCAAGTCTTCCGGTAACGCTTGATATTCGTCCGCGTTCCTCGGCGGCGTGTTCATTTTTCTCCTATGCTCTCTGATTCTGATGTGAAGTTCCCTGGCCGTCTGTCCTATGCAGACCTCAGTTCAGCCGTTACACTTAATTTTGTAGACACCGTCCCTGGTTCTGTTTGATCCGCGGCAATCCTTCGGCTGCACCAGTACGCGTTCAGCTGTAGCACCCTCCCGGTGCCTAGCTGCCATGCCACCCGAAGGAAGCACGAGGGCTGGGATACTGCCAAGTTGCCCAAGCCTAGACCATTGATTCCGTTTAGATAGAAATTCATCCGAACAAAGTTGGTTAGCCCGAAGAAACTATATGGATGGCGCTGCTGTGTTTGATTCGTAGATCATAACCTGGCCTGTAATGTAGTATTTGGTTTCATGGTGACTCGGCATACCATATCGCGGAGTCTCAACATCTATTTTTCTCCTTATGTTTCATTCATTATAGTCATTGGTTGTATGGGATGTTTTTGCTCCTGTTCTCTTTGTTACTGACCGGCTACCCGTTAGGGTATTTAAGTCTCACCGGTTGCCGAATTTTGTTTTAGCATGCTTATATTCCTTAGTCAGGTCTTTCAAACTTCTATTCGTCTAGGATTCTACGAATGCACTACAATCCCTTTTGGTATCCAAAAGTCTTCAGTGCTTGAGTTGATAGCCTTCTTTTAGCTAATTCATCTTACCACTTTGTTCTACTTTGCAGATCCATTGCTCCCCCAGGTGGTCGCATTTATTCAGGAATTCTCCCAGTTTCTAGAAACCATTGCCTATTGTGCACGGAAGACCGAGGCTGCCCGTTGGCCCCATCTTTTTGCTGCTGTTGGACGAACTCCGAAGGATTTGTTCGATCTATGCATCGAAAATAACAATTTGGAGGCCGCAGCTTCTTATCTTATCATACTTCAAGCTTCTGAACCCGTTGCACTTAGTCGTCAGGTGGGTTGCTAGAACCTTGTCCGCTTCTACCGAGCTCTTTGAAGCAAGTTGCCGCAGGGTTTGAGTATCTTCCTACACTTTACAAGTCTTCGCCTAGGCATTAATGTGACACCATCTTGCTTGAAGCCCGTGGTAAGCAGGGCTTATAAATTTTGAACTTCACTCGAATTCCGAAAAGTCGGAGGTCAATTGAGGCTTTTCCCTATCCACTGCAAGTTCACTGCTGACGATTTGGTCGTAAGCAGGGAGTCTCAAATCAAACTCCAGAATGCATACCCTTGACCAACAGCCAAAGTATACGTGATTATCATCATCGACAGCTTAAAATCAGTGTTTAACACTGGCACTTCGCTGCCGTACAACCAGGTGTGCTTGTTCCTCCGTCTGCTCAAAAATTCCACCAGCCCTACCGTCCACCTTCATTATCCGAGTAATGTGCGGTGTTTAATGCTTGTCCCTTAATTAACGTTGTGTCAGCATAAGAAAACGATATTCGTTCAGTTGTGACACTTCCATCTGCAGCCGCTGTCCTTCTCGAAGGAAGCATGAGAGCCGAGATACTGCCAGATCGCCAGACTGGAGCAATCGCGTAGCCAAGGCTAGGTTCGAAACGCAGACCTTATTGTCAGTAGTTTCGCTATCTCGAGCTCAGATGAATTATGCCGTCCTTCAGCAGAATGTTCTGTTTGGCCCATATTGAAATAGCTTACCATTGTAAGGGCACTGTACCTACGTGATAAGGCCCAATCAGGTGAAATTGGTATAGACTGTCGAGAATTTTTCATTGACATCCTAGTTGTTATCCTGTCTGTCGATCGCCTCTTAAACTGTGCTGAAATCAGGATATGTTTCTCGTTGTTGATCGCTCGACCTTAACCACGTAATTTTTGCTCTGCGACTAGTCTGAATATAAAAGGGACAAGGTTCCTGGTGTCGGTAGTCGGTCTCTGTAAGGGGGTTTTGGACGATGGATAACCTCCCTAGTTTATAGCGGGCACACTTAGCCGAATTCTCACTGTGAGATACCAGGCGGAAGCGGTGAATAGAACTTCATCTTTTCTAGCTTCTAAGGTACTTGCGATGGAATGAAGCGCATCTCTTCCCAATGAATGTTGACTCATAACTTCACTATTAGAGCTCGTGGTGTAGAATTTTTTTTGGTATGTCATCGCATGTTGTTTGTTAACTGGACTATGATTTCTCGTATTCCAGTACATATCTTCTCCGCAGCCACTTTTCCTACTCCTTCTCTTCTTCTTTGATCTAGTGCACTCTACATTTGATTGAGGTTGCTGTCGATTCCTCACAGTGGTTTGTAGTTCGGGAACTCATGCGCTTCGTAAATGCCATTGGTGAGTTTGTTATGATTGAAGCGCTCCATTTCCAGTGGTTCTTGTTGGTAAATCTTGTCTTTTGTTAATCTGAAGTTAATCTTATTTCTTCCACAACAAACCCATCGTTTTATGGTTGCACATTGGCAGAGCTTTCGTTTTTATTTGTTTTCTATACATCTTTCACGCTGAACTCTGTTAGCACACGCTGCGGTGACCCCAGCCAGCTTAAATTAGTACGCGGTTCATGGTTGTTAAACTGAGCTAAACTGGAAGAACCTAGTAATGCTGCTGGTTGAGAACATTATTGTTGCAACTAAATAAACAGATGACCTGAGCCATCAGCTGTCATTGCAGAAGAAATATATATTGAATGAGATTGTCTTTTTACTGTTTATCTTGTTGTGGGTGTTTATGACAGAACTTTTGAAACATTCATTTGAATTGAGACGCCAAAATTCACGCCTTTCAAGGCCGTAGTTCTCATGACTGTCACCGACTGACTGACTCTTTCATTGTTTGAACGGAAAATCAAACCACATATCTCTTTTCTAGACCCTTTAGATTTCAAGTTCCCGATGGATGGTTCAGTCATAGAGCCAAAGCATGATACTGCACGCTCAAAAGACCCTCGACCAGATCCTTACTCTGTCACGAACCAGCGTACGACATTTTTCTCCGATCCAAAGGCTCCACAAAGCACACGTTCAGACTTATTGCTGGCGTTACATTCAGGCAATGTTGAAGTCGAACCTGTGCATTCCCCCCGAAAGCCATTGTCCTTGTCAGAGAGTGACAGGTCTGATACGAATGCGCCCAATCTAAGCAGTGGAATACATCAATGGCTAGCTCATAAGGTCACAGAACTATTTACTCAAGGCTATCTGCGTCAACTGGCGGAGTTGGTAACAAACTTTCCAGTCTTCTACTCGTCCTCGGCTGTTTATCATAGTCCGGATCTCTTGGCTAGCTGGATTGCTTCCCAGAGGTAAAATGATCTCCTTATTATCTTTCATACGTTGTCTTCATGCTTGTCACTGCCTTTCAACGTGCCCTTCTTGGCCTTTGGAAGGTATCTATATCACTGATTGTTATCACTACTTTTCCTAAAGTTGACATTTCCTAAAATCAGACTGTTCTGTGATCCCCTGGGTAACAAACGTAAGCGGTTTTGTTAGAATACGAAGTTCAAGCAAACAGTTTACTCGAAAGAATACTCATGGGAGTAAATGCAGATCACCTGTTGTTGATTGAGTGCTCTACCAAATCCTCATCTACCTCCTAACAGTTAGTGTTTTTTAACGAGCCTGTACACAACTCGCTAAATGCCTTCAATTATCTTGCGAAACACACTCATTTGCGGCTTATTCAGGGGAAGAGCTCTGTTTTGCGCGAGGGAGTGTTCTGACTAAATTCTGAGTAGTTGATTCCTAATTACCGTTTGTTTTGCTTGGCGAGCTCCTGTTTATTGTGTCCTGGAGTTACCCGGTAACTGGATGCGTGCGACAAATAGTACGATAAGGGACATCCTGCATTTAAGAACATTACTGAGTTTTCTATCGACTTCTGGTCAAACGTTTTATGAGAATCGGTGACATTAAATACATTATCGCGGGTCGGTAAAGCTCCATTCACCTCGCTCAGTTTGTTTGTTGTTTTACGCTGTATTCCTTCGTTATCCGTTCTTACCTGCAAACATTCGGGCTTCTAGTCCACCGGTGCACTGTCGCATCGGCCGAGCCGAACTATGGTACTTGTAGCTTCGTGTGTTTATGGTCTCGAATCGGTAGATGACTGGCTCTCAAGCTGGGGACCGTGGCTACCAGGCGAGTCCGTAAGCGTTATTTCGGGACTTCGTAGTTTCCTTTATATGTAATTAGTGCTGCTGACAAGCATTGAGTCACACGTAGACCGTTGCTTCAGTACTGTCTAGGCTTGGACAACCTGGCAGTATCCCAACCCTCGAGCTTCCTTCGGGTAGCATGGCAGTTAGGCACCGAAAGGGTGTTACAGCTCAGCGGTTACGGATTACGCTTCACTACTGAAATCAGGACATTCTGATGCATGCCCCAAGAAGTGAAACCAAAATACAGTGTGCAGGACAGGCGATCGACAAACGGAATGACGCTGACATTGTTTGGTAGTATAGTGACCGCTAATGAACGCATACATGACAATTTCAAATGAACCCACCAGATAATTGAATTACAGCCAAACGTTGGAGGGTTACACAGATCTCTCGCGTCCAAAAATTGATTATCACTGTAGCGGTCACACAAATCAGAAAGCGTATCTGGTTGGTTGATTAACAAAGTGATAAGGGTCTAGTTGTTGGTGATATGGAGTATGGTCATGCAGCGTGGCAGACAAGAAAAAGCAAACAAGAGATAGAAGAACACAGGACCTCAGAAGTTGCTGCGAACTTTTGGAACGAGCTCCTCTCTTTAACAGGATACTGCAAGTATCATAGAAAAGCGTTAAAGGTATTATGAAAACCATGTGTACCGATAGGAGTCTTGACAAGTTTCACTGAAAATTCTGGAGCGACAGCATTGTCGAGCACTAGTGCTTCGGTGCTTCTCTCTTACATGTTATTCGAGAAAGATCAGAAACTTAGTTCAGTGATGACTCCAAACGTTCACTCAGACAGTTTGGGTTGAAAGTTGTACCGAGGACGCCGTTGGGACAGGTAGCTTTTGCTTGGAACCACCCATCTTAAAAAGAAACTTCCTTATCACGTTCATATTCTTGTGCCAACTCCGTCTCGTTTGCGCCAAGCTGAACTTGTCACGAAAAACAACACTTCTCAGGAAATGATCGTTCTACATACGCAGAGCCTGGAGGTAAATTGACCACATCTATCCCAGCCATCGATGACGTTATCTCGGGGACGAGATGGCTCAAGTGATTAGAACACGGATTTATTGACGGAATGGACCTCTGCCTCCCGACACAATCCTCATTGTGTTCATTTTAATATTGGTTGAGGGTGTAGACACTTTGATCGTTTTCTCTAGGAGCGTAGAGTGTCTTTGACTGACTTTCCATTCTTCTGTTTCCGTTTTTATGAGGAAATCTTTCGTTACGGGTAATTAAACTTTAATCCTTACTACTAGTGTCAGCGGTGATGATGAAGATGATGTGGTACCTCGTGAACGAATGTCTGGTCACGCACATTTTGCTCGATTTTAATCCTGATTGGTCATTCTTTAAGTCCCTCCAAAGATAACGAGACGCGGTTCCATAGCTATCACCACAACGCGAGTCAACCTGACACCTCCGGTTGCCGAACTCACTTCGGTCACCCTTTTCGTAATTTGGTACACCCATTAACTCACGCTCACTTAGTCGGGGCAGATTCATCCTCTAATATCTATGCGAATAAGGTAGACAGCCACCCAACTGAGCCACACCAGTACTACGTCTACCTACTTGTCACCGGTAGCCACAACGGTGTGTGAGCTTTTGCACTCATAATATGGAATATAATGCATGTGAGAACAGTGGACCGCAACTGTATCGGCAGCGAACACCTCGGAGTCTCTGAGGTCTGGTGCATGAAGAGATCCACCCACTCAACAACCGAACACTTTTCGAACACACGATATGTGTTAATTCGAAGCGAGTTCAAAGTACATGCTTGCAACTGTATGGATTGAGCGTTGGAGTTCAAAGATCGTTTTTAGTGTATCAGGTAGCTGGTGCCAGCTAAACGGCTAAACACATACCAGGCCAACCATGACGTCAGCCTTAATGGTAAAACCTCAAGAGAATTTGCCGTCAATCGGATGTTCGTTGGAGTGTGGTGCGATAGGGGAGCAGATGTGAATGTGGTAACATGATTTCAGTCAGATGACCTTTATAAAATAACCCTAGTGGTGATTTCAGGTGACGAATGATGTGGTACACGTTTATTTTCACTCGTTATTTGTGGTCGTAGCTGAGATGATCACGGTCAGTCAAATAAAACATGTCGAGACGGGTACCTCAGATGTGCAGTAGACTTGAATCAATGTCACACGATTGAATCGCTCCGTTGCGCGAACGTGATGTCACAACAGAGCGAAAAATTCACTTGTGTGGTGGTCGCTGTTTTGTTCGGTGAGCTGGGCAATTTGGTTGTCAACGTTTCATCACCAATCGAGCTGAAAATATCAGTGTGTTGAGGTTGGTATTGCCAATCTCAGCGTGATTTACCAGTATTCTTTTCACTTACAAACGTCACTTGTGTGTCGCGATCACAACAGAACCTAAATCTCTAGCGATGAATTACGTTTTGTCGAAATGTTAGCAGGATTTCGTAGGACGTAGAAGAGGAAGAAAAGTTACATGTTAAACGCATCTCTAGAAAGCCTGAATAATGAACGAGGGAGACGCAAAGACAAACCGTCCCCACTGCTGATATGATGTGGAGGTTGGGGTGTGATAAGACGCAGTTTACTTCAGAACAGACCACAAGTCGGTAGCAATCCGCAGTATGGCTCCAACTTGCACAAAAGGTGGAAACGTTTTTCGAAAGAGGAACGATAGGAAATTACTGGGTGATATGGAACACATGGTGGCAGCAGTCTGTTCCGAGGCGACAATGTCAACCACCGACCGTGCGAATTCGGTCCAGTTTCTGCTGACCACTGGAACTGTTACACTGTACAACTTGAGGTAAACGTCATTCAAACAACACGGCCGTTAAACCAGAGTGATCCGTTAACACAAGTACTGTAGAGCCCACCAAGAGTTGTACCAACCACAGTAAACTACATTCAGAGTTTAGAACACCGACCAACACGAATGGATATCATTAATAAGTCGACACTTTCCTGGTATGAAGTGAAGCTTTTTCTTGGATGAGTTCCAAGATCAGGAGCAGTAACAGACTAGATGCAAGTTTTCGCATCTGTTTTCCCTCTGGCGCAAACAGGGCATTCCCTTAAATAGGCCAGATATTCCCTGTCCCCTTAACTAGCCGCCCGAAAAATGTCCAAACTTTTGGGCCGAAAACCTCGATTTGCCCCACTGTTATTTGAATGAAATTATGGTGCTTAGCTGTTACATCTCGTTGTAAATGTAGACACCCAAAATTTGAGTAGCTTTCGATTACAACAGCCGGGGTTCGCCGAAGCGAATAGCGAAGCCGCTATTCCGCGTAGCTACCCAACAACAGTAGCTTTTAGGCTGACAAAATGTAACAATCCTCTTAAGACATTGACCGATACCTTTTGGTTTACTTGTTGGTGAACCGACTGCTTTAGTGAAAATATCTTTTATATTCAGATTCATGGTCTCCTAAAGATCGCGTAATCAGCATTCCCGTTTTGCCCGGAAATAAGAACATCCATCAACAGTCAGATATCCAACAGACTGCATCTGCCGGGTTCCTACTGACTCAGTTTTTTGACAAACTCTTGGCAGTTTCGTGTGCTAATCAGTATCTGTTAGTAGCTAGCTTGATCTTTCAGCCTCGGAAACTTATCATTTTAACTTTACTATCAGCAGCATTAAGTCAAAAAACTGTCCACCGACAGCTAGCTCTCACGGGTGGATTTTGCTCGTTTCTGTTTTTGCTTCTCGACTGCCTTTTCTGATCTTCCTCATGATACCGATAGGTTTGGGTACCTTGGTAACTTGAAAAACTACACTGAAAACTGAATCTCTAGCATCCACAAAGTTCGACCTACCAGGTCATCCGTTGAGTGCATGTCCGGCAAACAGCCTCCCCAACCCTTAGACCGGTGGTTGAAACATGTGTGACCACATTCCTTTATAAGTTCGACTGTCCGCCTATTACTACGCAAACTGCCGCCTTTTAATTTCAAACTAATTGCATTGTTTAGAACCCCCATCTTCGTCGGGTCTAGAGTTAGTATCATGACAATTAGCTTAGCTTACGTACAAGTCATGAAATGTCCAGACAAATTCACGTTCATACCACGTCGGCCCTTTCGTACTAGCAACACCTGGTTCGCTTTATTCGCCGCACAAGCCAGTGAGGATCAGCTGGAACGTGCGATTGCTGTTGCTCTCTCTTGTGTTGTTGTCTCATAATCTTCCTCTTACCCAACTTAATGACTCGTCTATAGACTCTTGTTGTCACTCAAGCTTACAGCTAAGAACCGATATTCACCACCGTTGCTTTCAGTGCTTACCATAGCGATGATGACAAGTATGAGGGTGATGGTGACGATAGTTATTTATGTCGATGCGGGTGTGCATGACTCTGATGTCAGTGATGTTGATGAACCGGTTTCTCGAAAAGCAAACGAACCGTTTCTGGGAGCGTGTATGTCGAGTCCATTAACCGATTTCTACAGAGTAATTTAATCGCATGTCACCTGTGGATAGCAGTTTCGTCCACCGAACAGGTAGTGATCGCAACTGGAACCAACAACTATCATCTTTTTCCGGTACTCTTCTGTTGTAGGTTATAATAGCGTCATTCAACCACTAGAATTATTTTTACCAACAACTAGCCATGTGGAACACTGGAAACTACTCAGAGGTTTCATGGAACAAATGAGCCACAGAAATATATCTCGTTACCCTACCACAGTTTTGCCTCTAAGACCACAGGGCGTATTCTCATTGAGATGCTGTTAACATTCATTCAAACAATCTGGGAGCATGCTGACCACACGAGCACCATTGACATCGGCCAATAGCACCGTCTTCCAACATTTACAACGAAACGCATGAAGGGCCTTGACGCCCCCCACCTCCCCGTCCAACCTACAACTTTCTCGTGGTCTCCATCTCCTTGTCTGCATCTGTAATAAACTTTGGTTAATATACTTCTCATGCTTCTATCGCTTTGTTCATTAGGTTTGACCTGCATATCGTATTGGATTGGCCGGCTTCACTGGTGCAGCTACACAATGAATTCAACTATCCAATGCCATGTGCTTCTACTCAGCCCCTCGAGCATGCGGTGGAAAGTACATCTGCATTGGGTTCTTACCATACTAATTTCTCCATCCACCCATCAAAGTAAGCCGTCTCTTGAACTGCCATATTGTCGCATTACTGTGTTCTATTCGTATTTCCTAGCTTCACCAACTCTCGAAACCTTGCATCTAATGGTTTCTGTGAGCTTATCGTTTATGTTCCTACTTCAACGTTAGTGAGCTTTATTATCTTATACTCTACCTATCCTCATAACTTGTACCTTTTCATCCTTTAATTAGTTCCGCCTCAGCTACGTCCAATAAAGCCCTGAGACAGCTCCGATATTTGCTCAGTCAGTTACTGCAGGGTGGAAGCTTTGAATGGGCTTCACTGGTTGCGTTGATGGTTCAAGATCGCAACGGGTTACTCGAGGCAGTTACATTAGCTGTGGATGCTTCCACAAGATCGACCTTGTCTCGTCTAAGAGATCGACACTCAACCTGTCATACAAACGAACGGCGCTCCTCGGGTTTATGGCGTCGTGTTGTGGGGTCACAACATCAACCAGTACCATCTCAAACGAGCAACGAGAATAGTGACCAAGAGAGTGGTGGTCCATATAGTCCATTGTTCGGAGATCCTCTGAGTCGTGTTCATGCCGGCCTGAAACAAGTGGACTACTGGGCTACTGAGCACTGTTCATTGTATCACCAATTTATTGACGAACTACAACCAGACTTGGAGTAAGTATTGTTTCGACTGTTATCCCCATGGATACGGCTTTACTGTTACTCAAATGCAACTTCATTTCACCTTTAGTGTGTACCACTTTTGGAGTTGGAACATTCCCATTTTCTTATTTTTCTCTCATCTATCATACTTAGTTTGTAGCTGCGCCGAATGTTTTTTTTCGTCCCCGATGTATTAGATTCTCGCATAATATAACTCTTAGACATTTGAACGGTGCGGGGAAACTTCACCAGGCGATGTTGCACTGCTTACGATCTTCATCAAGCATGATTCTGGCAACGCATTTCCGCAAAAGTACGCTCGTGCCATACTGTGACTCCCTGTACTATAGTTCTAAGACTATCTCAGTTCTAGGGTGATGAACGATTCCCGATGTAAATCGGGAACAGCCTCAGGCTGTTAAGCACAGATACTTTCGCTCATTCCGAAACACTTTCATATGTCACATACGATGATGATGTCAGCTAACCATAAACACTATCCACCGTTGAATCAACCCGAATTTGTGTAGCCACATAAAACTAAGTAGTTCTTAAGATCCATAATGTTTTATCAGTTGTAATGATCCGAGTGTCACAGTTCCCACCTATCTTGTACCGTTCCTTCCAGCCAAGTTGTTGAGCAAGCGAGCTCATTTTTTGGTCAGTGTGCTTCAGGGACAATTCTTAACAATGCACAGTCCACCTGCGAACAATCTCGGCTAGTCCAATCGGACATCATCTTCAACAGCTTTACCGCTCCTGACGCACTGACACGGAGAAAAGAGGCGAAACTCTACGTGGATGATGCAAGTCAACTGGAACCGTGCCTTATGACAAACTGGGACGGTGGTTTGTCTGACGTACGCTCGTTTTGGTGCCGCATTTTCTTTGCCATGTTTGATATTGTCCATGCATATTCTTAGTTACGTACTCGTGGTGACTGGTCGAGACCACTGCATTCCATCTTTCTATATGGCTGACATTTCATCTCTCTCTCGACATCCTGATACACTATGTTCCATGTCCAACGTCCATGTTATGCGGCTGGAAAAATAAGGCACTGCGTTATACGGTTTTTTCCCCGACACAGTAACTGGCGTCACGCATTTTAACACTAGACAGAATGTCAGTCTGTTCTAGGTATGCTTCTGTTGCGAATGTGTGGAACGTAACTCTTTGTTTTTTCGTGGCACGTAGACATTTTTATAAAAATCTTGAAACCTTTATATTTCAATCTTTTTACAAGCTCGAATTGAGATTAAAATGGATACAAATCGCAGAATCATAGTGTGAAGTTTTTTAAACGGAATACACTGTATCGGGTGCCGTTTTACAGTTGCTGCGAACCTGGTTACTAGCCATGTGCTATCTGGTTTGTCGAACTAAAATACTGGGTATATTATATATATATATATATATATATATATATATAT